GCTCTAAGTTGAAATAATGACCGTCTTACTGTTTTAATCTCCTGATCCAGTTTTCCTTTCTACTGCTCCCTCTGTTTAAAACTTATTCATTGTTCTCTTGATGGTTTTTGAGTGGACTTTGACGATAGAAGCCAGAGTATGAATGTTGGTACCATTACTGAAGGCATGAATGATCTTTTTCCTCACACCATTGCTTAGTTGGAAAGACAGTGGTGCTGACACAAAACGATTTTAACTTATTCTTTTTCGAGCTGAATAACGTTTTCTCGGTGATTCTTAAGACAAATGGTTATCTGAAAACCCGGAAAAAATGAAACTCAATTAGTTTAGAGTTTTTTTTTTTTTAGATATTAAACATTTTGTGGGATGGATGATTAAGCTCTTACACGATTTGGACAATTTTGCTGTTACGCCCGATTTAGATTCGTCTGGCAAAATTCTCTCCGTCACGTAAACTAATGATTAAAAAAATATCAAGCAAATATATAGTATCCCAACTATTTGGACGCCAAGAATATTCGAAAGACGCACCTCAAAAACTCTAGATGACAGCTGATCTCTCCTCTGAACGAGCTTTAAGAGATCTGTGAGAGAAAAACCGGTTGGTCACATTCAATGCCTAGTAAACCAAATTAGAATCATTCTATCATTATCGAGCGGACACAGAATTTTCTCTTATCGTGATGAACAGGTGTTCACTCAGGAAGATCCCGTGCCTCAAAAACTCCAATCTCCCAATCAGAGGCTTTGTTGCCGGATGTAGTTTATCGTCATACCCAGGACTAATTTGCTTAATGAGAGCATACAAAATTTCCGCACCTGAATTTTTCCGATATATTTTAGTCGATCTTTCTGATTTTTCTTTTTCTGTATTTTTGTTTTATTCCTTCTTTATTGCGGTCTATCTATCTATCTATCTATCTATCTATCTATCTATCTATCTATCTATCTATCTATCTATCTATCTTTCTATCTATCTTTGTCAGCATCTCTCTGCACGTGAAACCACTACTGTTAAATAACAGACACAAGCATAAATCCAGCGAAAGTTTACGTATAGATTCAAGCGTAAATTTAACCAGTGTTTTGCATTAAGCATTATCGCAACAGGTATTTACATTCAAGTATTAACCAGACAAGTATTTGCGTATAAACTCTAGCTTAATGGGGAGAAACAAAATAATTAAAAACTCGATATTAAATAAACAAGAGCTGCAATGTCGTTTAGGTATTTCCACTAATTCGTCGAAAAAGCAGTATAGCATGATGTAAAAAGGTCCCAAACTTAATAAAGACGAAGTTTTATCGTCAAAACATTTATTTTATTATTAAGAGGAAAGAAAAAAATGTATTTTTTCATCATTTTATTAAATTTTTTCATCCGTCGTAGCACGTTCGAAATTTTGGAAAAAATGTATTTTTTTTTTTTATGTTTGTGGTCTACGTAATACTTACGTTATGTTTTGGAACCCCTTTTTTTCATATGAAAAACACATTGATTTGGAAATTCTTGCAATAACCAAATAATTGTAGAATTTTAATGAAACTTTCAGAACTTATTCACAAATGTATTAAATTATTTTAGACATGTTTCTTTTTTTAGAAAGTCATGGTGAAATTATTTTTTTACATCTGTTACCTACCCCACTTTATTTTATGAAAACACGAGAAATTCGACGGCGTGCCTTTTATTGATTATATCTGTTAAAAGCAGAAGTCTTTGAAGATTATAAGTAATCGATTTTTTTGTAAAATCGAATCACACAATTACCCAAAATTCAGCTCTGAATTGTAACATAAAGACCCAATAAAACCGAGACATTATTCAATTAGAAAAGCTTTTAATGACTTATGAATAATTTCGTTTAAGGTCAATACTGTCTGAAGTCGAAATATTTTTCCGATGAAAAATTAATTTTTACAAGAATTGTTTTCTTTTATTTTTTTCACTTTTAAAAACAAATTGTGATAAAGTTGTTAAATATTTTAAAATTAAGTTCCAATCCGTGCACTTTACGGAATACTGTTATTAGGTAGATCTATCTTTACATATCATAAATTTGAAAGCTTATTACAATTTGCGACACATGCATTTTTGAAAAGAATTTTACACTGTTTTAAGTCTGCATAAAAACGTTTTTCTCCAAATATATGGATGACCGTAAGTTTTAAGAGTTGTTTCTCCTGGCAGTAATAAACTGACCCCCCCATCCTAAAGAAATGTTACTTTTTCGTATTGCGAACATATGTTAAATTCTCTGACCGACTTTGACCATCGTCGTTGCATTTTTAAAAGTTTTATTTTGTCCAGTCCTATTTCAATAAATATTTTGATTTTTTTTTAAATATAATTAATTTATTGTTTTTCAATGAGAGACATACTGAAATAATTTTTTTTTAATCATTCAACCCCAAGCAAGGCGGGAAGCCACTAGTACGCAGACGATTAGGGTATCTGGAGACGTCGATTGACGTTACATTTCAATAGTTCGAGATTATAGTTATCAGGAAAACAAGAAATGGGGAGTTCCACAGGCGAGAAGTGCGAGACATGAAGCTATTGGAGTAGAAGAGACGGCTACATTTAACAGTTTCGACAGTGAAAGGGTGAGAGCGAGATGCCAGCCTAGTTGAGCGCTTAAATTCATGAAGTCTGGGAACCAGCGAAAGCAGCTCATCGGAAAATATTTGTAAAAAAGACAGAGGGAGGCGACGGCACGTCTGTGAGAGACTGGATGCAGACGAGATGCCAGATCAGGGCCAATTACATTGCATATCCGTCTTTGGATTTGATCAAGGACCTTGAGACAGAAAGAAGGATCTCCAGACCATATATGGCATCAATACTCCATGCAAGGGCGAATGGTTGATTTGTAGATTTGAAGGATCGACTCCGGCGAGAAAAATTTCCTGGCGCGGCATAGGGAACCAACTTTCCTATCGGTGGACGAAGTTATTGACTCAATGTATTCGTTCCATCTCAGGTCAGCGGACAATGTGAGACCAAAGAGGTGCTTTCGTGGAGTTGAGCGTCAGACAGTCTAATGGGAGGCAGGGATGGTTTTTTCTGGTGAGTAATAGAGAGCAGTTTTGTTTTTGAGGCATTTAAAGTTAACCAGCCAATACCTGACCCAATAATTATTTTCTTTTTTAGTTTCAATTCTAGGGACGGAAACAAAACAATTAATATTAAAAATAAGGAAAATTAAAAATTGGCGTATTAAAAATATAACATTTCATAAAAATAAGAGAGGTACCTAGAATTATTAGGTAACTATCTTAATTATGAAATTTCATGGTATCATTTTTAATTATTAATTTTTATATTATTTGTTATGTAATTTTTTCAGAACCAAGATATATAAATTAATAATACATAAAAATAATACTATAAATTTTCATAAGAGATGTACGTAAAAATGCAGTATCTCTCTTATGAAATCTTACCTCACTCTTACTTATAAAATTTTAAATTTATTTTATTGTTAGTATTTTAAATTTTATTTTTCCAGAAATCATCTTCAAACGTAAGGCTATAAAGCTAAAGTACCTAAAAAAATAAAAAAAATAAATAAAAAAATATAAGATTGCTGAAAGTATTTATTAATTAAAAAAAAAATACTGTGCAGTTAAATTAGTTAATTTAAGATTCGAAAAAAATATGTCCGGTAACTTCCCCTGACCTAAGCTGTCAATACATAGTTTTAACTGTCAGTTAAAACCTCCAAAACAAGTCACTGCGATTAAGAAATACTTTTTAATGGTATTCCGCTGATGCCAAAAAAGAAAAAAAACAAGATTTTTAATCATAATTTCGAATGTTCTAAAAAGGATGAAAAAATTTAATTAAAATAATAAAAAATTACTTTGGTCTTTCCTCTTAATAATAACATTTAGACAATAAATTTTTTTTCATCAAATTTGGGGACTTTTTCATCATGCTATGCTCTTTTTCAACAAATTAGTGGTAATTACTACGTTAAATTAACCAAACTAACTCTCTCTTCCTTTCTCTCTCTCTCTCTCTCTCTCTAAAACACACACGCACGCGTTTGTGCGCGCACACACACACACACACACACACACACACACACACACACACACAAATATGGGCATATATTATGTATACAGTGTAACCCGGATATAAGAGAGTTGTCGAGACCGGAGAAGAAGTCTCTTATATCCGGGTTTCTCCGGGTTTGGTCTATTTTATATACATTAACACAGGCTCTAATTTGGGACCAGAGAAAATCTCTCTTATATCCGGGTTTCTCTTATATCCGGGTATCTTATATCCGGGTCACACTGTACTATAAACTCAAACCGTCTTTCCGCCATTTCGTCGCACTCACTATTTACTTATTGTTTTTTTTTCTTCCTAACTTTTCTATCTCTCTGTATGGCTTTTCTTCCCTCTCCCTGACTCTCTCTCTGTCTTTTATCATCACACACACACACACACACACACACACACACACACACACACACACACACACACACACACGCACATTGACTGACGGCCGGTTCGCATAAATAGAAAAAAAAAAAATTGTGCATATTTTTCCCAGTCTCACTATATGAGTGGACGTAGCAGTAATGTTACGCGAAGAATCTCGAAAACAAAAACAGTAATCAGTGTTGAATTGATTGTGAAATTATAAGTTGCCGTCAGCAAAAAAAGAAAGACTGAAGTGCAATTCGTAACTTTGCCCTCCATTCAGCACCCCCCCATACTCCGCCATCAGATTGAGCGGCCGCAGCACACTGGTCAAAAGACTCTCACCAACCCACCATCTCCATTGTCTTGGGGGTGCCAAACGCTGGCGATAGTTTTGTATCCAGTGGTTAAGTGCTCGGATCGACAGAATTATGCCGTAATTGTAGCCCGAAACAATTTGCAGTTTATGTGGCTGGAATGATTCACAGTGTATATGTGGAGAATACCTCAAGGGTAGGGGTATATTGGGTATGTGAAATAAGAAAATAAAAATGAAACAAGGTTAAAAGAAAGGAATAAATAAAGGAAGAAAGGGCCAGATAGATAGATAGGTAGATAGATAGATAGATAGATAGATAGATAGATAGATAGATAGATAGATAAGTGAAAATAAGCTTATAAAGAAACAAAAGAAAGAGAAAGAAAACAGACAGGCAAACAGATAGATAGATAGATAGATGGAGAGATAGATAGAAAAACGACAATAGCTTTTAAAAGAAAGAAAGAAAGAAGCCAAAGATGTAAGTTGATAGACCGACATATAGATAGATAGATAGATAGATAGATAGATAGATAGAAAAGTGAAAATAGACTTAAAAAGAAAGAAAGACCTAAAGAGACAGGCAGATAGATAGATTGATTGATACATAAATAGATAGAAAAGTGAAAATAAGCTTAAAAAGAAACAAAGAAAGAGAAAGCAGACAGACAGACAAATAGATAGATAGATAAGTGATAATAAGCTTATAAAGTAACAAAAGAAAGAGAAAGAAAACAGACAGGCAAACAGACAGATAGATAGATAGATAGATAGATAGATAGATAGATAGATAGAAAAACGACAATAGCTTTTAAAAGAAAGAAAGAAAGACACCAAAGATGTAAGTTGATAGACCAACATATAGATAGATAGATAGATAGAAAAGTGAAAATAAGATTAAAAAGCAAAGAAAGACACAGAGAGACAGGCAGATAGATTGATAGATAAATCGATAGAAAAGTGAAAATAAGCTTAAAAAGAAATAGATAGATAGATAGATAGATAGATAGATAGATAGATAGATAGATAGATAGATAGAAAATGGCAATAGCCTTTAAAAGAAAGATACCAAAGAAGTAAGCTGATAAATAGATAGATAGGAGCAAATTAAGAAAGAAAGAAAGAAAGAAAGAAAGAAAGAAAGAAAGAAAGAAAGAAAGAAAGAAAGAAAGAAAGAGTGTAACAATATATCTGAATGTAGAGAAATGAATCAGTATGATTGAAAGCAGGGGATACCAAGTAAAGAAAAGAAAGAAAGAAGGAAGATATAGAGAGAAAGACAAGAGAGTTAAAATTTGAGAAGAGAACGAAGTAACAGTTTGAAGGCAAAATATTTAAGAGGAAAGATAGACAAGACTAATGAAAATAAAAGGTGATATAACCAGACAGAGAGACGGGGAGACAAATTATCAGATAAATGGAGTTGGATTATTGAAGAAGACATATTCGATAGAAAGAGTTGGGACAGAAAATGAGAAAAGAAAAATCAAGCATTAAATAAAAATGAAAAGTTGTATTCGTGTATTTCGGGCTGGAAATGTAAAGAATTTCGATTAATGGCGAAATTAGTGAAAGAGAATAAGACAGAAATAAGAGAAAGAGGAAAGAAAAAAAAAACGTTTGGAGATAAACAAGTAAGAGAAGGAACTAAAGATGCCCTGACGTTGTGGAAAGGAAGTAGATATGCTCAGATATATGCAATATAGTGTAAGAAAATACACAGAAAGAAGGAACGGAAGAAGAAAAAAACATGACCGGAAGAGGTTTATGTGCGTTCATAGAATTGCGAAGAAAAGCGTTGACAAATAAAAACAACAGAAATTTTTTCGAACTGGAGCCTAAGTTACAGAGTGGGAGTGGGGGAATGTTTCTTGTCGCTTACAACGCCACAAAAACATGCGTTAAAAAAATAAATAACATGAATGCCAAATTCGACAACAGTTGTTGACTGAAATAAAAATGGAAGTGATGAAAAAAAAAAATTCCACAAATTCATAGTAAATATTAGGAAGTATTAAACGCGGTTGATAAACAAAAAGAAAGAAAAAGGTCGAAAGAAAGAAAGAAAGAGTTGCTGTAGGTACTGGGGATTTTACATGTAACTAATGGCAAGCACACACACGTATATAAGAGAAAGATTAGGAGATTGGATGTTTTGAGGAGCATGGAACCACTTCTAAATTGCTGTTGTCCCCAGGTCCAACCTGACCCGGGGGTGGTAGTAAAAATTAGGGTCCCAGCTATGGGCAAATAGTGAATCCCAACACAAAAACAAAACACTATGAATGTATAAAAATACATTTTATAGTAAACATTAGAAATACATCTTTATATAAAAAATTACCAACAATACAATTTTATCGCAAAATAAAGAATAATACATTTTATAGTAGAATCACGAACAATGCATTTTATAGCAAAATGACCAACAATACATTTTATCCGTAACTGAAGACATACAATTGCGCTCAAAGTATATTTAGTTGAAGCCATAAAATTGTGTTCAAAATATTCAGATTCCGGCATTAAATAACCCATAGATGTTGATATGCCGCTAAATAAAATCAACCAACCAAACAACTAATATGAAAGAACTCTTTCATGACATTAGAACGTGAGCGGTCATGGGTCTCCACAACTTCTTATCCTTTATCAACCCGTTGTGGGATATTTACATCCACAAAATATTTTAAAGATGTTTTTTTGGGTAATAATAATTTAATGATACAAGCGCTACTAATTAACTTATAGCTAGGTGGGAAGAAGAGGGAGATTCATACCTTTCTAAGTGGTATTTGCGCATAAGTAGATATAAGTAACCCAACGATAATTGTAACTCGGACCTTCGATTAACAATTCTGAGCCATTATTCATTACACCACCCGCACATCCAAGCTTACAGCACTTGGTATATCGCAAGCCTTATCCTTTGTAACTCTCAGTAATGTCTGTCCACTTAATATCCTTCTCTCTCCCTCTTCTGTCATCCAATTACCCAAGCGCATTAAGTACGTTACTCGATGTTTCCCTTTAATACGTCCTGTGAGTGTCAAATTCTTCAAGCTCTCTTTCCTCATTACGTGCTTCAAGAATTTCAACTGTCTCTTTTTGATTCTAAGTACAATAGTCCTTTTTGTTTCCATTTTCCTTAAATTTCTTCGTTGCTTACGTACTCCATCCATGGTATCCTCAACATTCTTCGTTCAAGTATCCCCTTCACCCGTGGCGAAATAGTCCAGCATTCAATGCCTTATAGGAGGATTGATATCGCATAGCAGTTATACACTCTGTTTTTGTCGCTTACGAAATTTTCCTGTTTCTTAATACCTAATTTTTGGAAGGCATCTTTCTATATTCCACGGCGCCTTCGGATTTCTGTGTCAGATTTTCCAGCGTCTGCGAAATGTTTGTACATTTGTGACACCTCAGCTTAAGTCCTTTCGAGTTAAGTCATTTTCGATGATACGTCGGTTTTTCTTAAATATTATATGGAAAAATAAACCTCGCCTTACGTCGTTTTACTCGAGTTTATGTCGCCCGTTAAAAATATTAGAAACGTCAAAACACTGAAATAACAATGAACACATAGAAAATCATATTTAAATAAATTTAAAAATAATTATGTATACTATATATATATATATATATAGTATACATAATATTATTCTTAAATTTATTTAAATATATATTTAAATATAATTTAAATAAATTTAAAATAATATTATGTATACTATATATATATATATTTATAGTATACATAATATCATTTTTAAATTTATTTAAATATGATTTTATATGTTATTATTTTAGTGAAAGAACGTCAACGGAAGAGCACAGATGTAAACAAGTCTGAATTAAAATCGGTGTTGAAGCGGGAAACAAGGCAAGAGTGCCTTTAATGAAATAAGAACATTTGCTGAACATACTTTATTATGCTATTTTTGTGTTGTATGATTTTATGATATATATATATATATATATATATATATATATATATATATATATATATATATATAATAAAATCATATATATATATATATATATATATATGAGTTCATGCAGTCTTCTTTCTGTGCCTGCCATCAACACGCTGTCATAGTCGTATCTTATACCGTTAAGATGTTGTTTATCAATAAGAAACCACGCTCGGACTTCTAATTCTATTCGGATTGCTTTTCTGTGTCTTTTGAATAAATCCAGTCAGAAGACAAAGCATAAATATAAAGCTCTTTGGATTGACTTTGCTACAGTGAGCTCTCATACAGAGATCCCAAATTCTGTCTGTCCGTCACGTTATCATGATCACAAATATGTCCACGGTTAATAGTGTGACGTCGTCCCCCCTGGTCGCAGCGTCGACTGTGTCGTTCGATCCCGTTCGCGGCGCCAGCTGTTCGCTCCTCGCTGCTCCAAGTGTGACGTTCTAACCCTTTGGTTAGATGAATACCAGCCTCGTCGTTCCCAACCCGCTTCCAACGCCTGGTTACCAGGGTAACTGCACTGATCTCCGGTCTGCCTACCCACGTTGTGATTAGATCTTAGACAGACGGGATCAAACAGGGATTGGGCCGTATGCAAGCTGAGTCCAACGGGGGTGATAACACACAAGAAAAATAAAAACTCACAAGGTCAAAATTATTGAAGAACTTTTTCTTCAATAATTTTGACCTTGTGAGTTTTTATTTTAACACATTTTTTATTTTAACACATTTTTATATCTAATTGCTCGTTACACAAGATTATTCCTACCTCCCGACCCGTTCTGTGGACTGTGGCACCACGCTTCTACCAAGCAACTTTAAGGCTTCGAGTTGCCTGCTCTCTAGAAATTTGCATTTCGGGGTGTGGTTTGGTTTCAACACTGGGCGCTGATCTCTGCTTGTCGTTCACGGCTGTTCTCTCTCGCCGTCCGCGGCGCAAACTCTCTGCCTGTCGTTCACGGCTGATCTCTCTCGCCGTCCGTGGCTGCAACTAAACTCTGCCTGTCGTTCACGGCTGATCTCTGCTGGTCGTTCACGGCTGATCTCTCTCGCCGTCTGCGGCGCAAACTCTTCTCTCTTCAGAGTCTGAATTATTGGTCACTCATCCCGCCGTCAGTGCGCGAATTAACTTCTTCTCTTCGGCTTGCTCTGATTCCAACTTCTCCACTTAGGCCAAACGGGCTGCTTCACTTCGGCTTCTCTTGCCCGCAAGGGGGCGAATGAACCGGGCCCGCCGCCCGCGCTCAAACTCCCTCGCCGTCCGCGGCGCAATTCTCTCTCGCCGTCCGCGCTGCAACTGATTTCTGTCGGTTGGGGTCCCGCTTTTATTGATGCAGTCAAAAACTGGGGTGGGTCTGTCGGCGCCAGGGTTTTCTTGATAATTCTAAATACGTATCCACCCTTCTTATTTCTGGTTAGGGATTTTCCATTTTCGGTAATTCACTTTCACTCCTACTCCCTTACTGTGCCTCTGGGGGGCGTATACCCGCTTCCCCGCTCCTTCGTATGTCATGTGACCGCTCTCGGCCAATGGGGTCTTGGTCGGGCATCTTTCCTCCTCCCTCGCACGTCATGTGACCGCTCTCGGCCAATGGGGTCCTGGTCGGGTGTCTTTCCTCCTCCTTCATGTATCATGTGACCGCCTTCGGCCAATGAGGCTCTGGTCGGTATCTTTCCTCCTTCCTTCGTGACGTCTTTAATCGGGCGTGGACAATCCGTGGCTTTGTTCTGGGGGAAGAAACACCTTGCTTAAAGAAACAAAAATTTAAATTGCCCTTTTCGTACGTGACCGAAATGACGCTCTCGGTTTCTTTTACACGCGGTATTTGTCAAACAGTTTATCGCTAATTGGATACGATCTAAGAAAGGGATTTCTCAGACTGGGTGGCGTTTTCGTGAACTAATAAAAATATTTCACTTTTTCTTTCGCGGCCAAAGGCCTGATAATAAAATTTTTCATTATCTCAAGAAAAAGCATTTTCTAACATCACCTTGTGTGGCTCCATTTTCAATTCAGGGATTGTCTGGGTTTTCGTATTAATGGTTTGCCTGTATATCCTTAGATAAACTCCCCACCTGTTACCTATCATATTTTTTTCCATTGTCTCTAAACTTTATTTCTTCAACCAAATTGATAACAAACTTCCATTTTTCGTGGACACGGAAGTAGGTCAGGTGCTTGACCGGGATCTTCCAACATCTGTTATGTATCAATCGAGCGTTTGTTTATTCGCTTATGACCTGGTTTTCGTATTATATTTTTCTTTTTTCTTTCTTTTTCTTCTTCTTTTCTTTCTTTCTTCCAGATCGCTTGAATGTAAAGAAAGAATTATTCCTAATCCCGAAATATTTTTCAGCCTTAAATAATTATCAAATGGTTGACAAACCGTAAAAAACAAATCATATATTTATGAATATTTCTTTTCAGCTTTCTAACTATGCATGGTGCCACAATAGTATTATTTTAAATTGTAACTGTCCTTCTCACCATTCGACAAAAAAAACAAAATCTTGTGTCGATTTCAAATTATCGAAGAATATACGATTAATATAGTGTAGAAAAAGCTTTAGATCAGGGGTCGGTAAACCCTGTTCCCCGGGTCACAGCCGGTCTGCGTAGGATTTTAGTCCGGTCTGCGTAGGATTTTAGTCCGGCCTGCGTAGGATTTTAGTCCGGCCCGCCAACTTAACCGTAACTCAACTCAATTACTGGAATTTTTTTCTTTCCTTCCCAAAAGTCTTTTTTTTTTTGTCTGAACAAAAACAAGCCCATAGAAACTAAGAATAGAAAATTAGAATTTGAGTGTCGAATTTTTAGCGAAAGCTTAACTATTTTTTCATTGAGTATTTTGTAAAATGTCTTTGTCAAGAAACAATTGCCGTAAAGAAAGTTTCTCCAAAACAAGGCAGCCTTCGGGACGGAGAGGTCTGAGGTCGAAACAATTTCTTATCGTACATTAGATATGATGGCTCTCCTCCGAGACACTGCATAGCTGCCTGAGCCTCTTTATCCAAATGGTTACCGTCTTCTGCTTTAGATGATTCATTATCATAATGTCCTTTGTTTTCGAACAATCGAATTTCTTGCGCAACGATTCGACCATTCCATTGTACATAAACTTTCAGTTAACGATCGAATAAATGCTGTAGCCGAAAAGAGTGACCCTCTATTTCATACACCTGAAGAAGAAAGAACTGTCGAAACGTCGTTTAAGCGTGAACAAGAGATTCGATTCGTGTATGTGAAATGGGTTGGTTAGTTGTGTTCCTATGCGAGGTGAAAAATCAAGACTCCAGAAGCTAATTTTCAAGGCAGGCACAACAGCCGCACATAGAGGCTTTCCTTTATACGGGTGTATTTTGCCTGTTGTATATTCCCTCCCAAAAAGTTTGTATTCTTGTAATCCAACCCCCACGCAAAAGGTGTATATTCTACCTATAGGTCTATTTTCACACCAAAAAGCATGTATTTTGACTGTTTTGTATTCCCTTCTAAAAATGCGCGTATTCTGTTTGTAGTTGTATATCCCACAAAAAAAAATGTATGTATTATGCCTCCAGGTGTATTCACCAGAAAATACGTGTATATACCCTCAAAAATACGTGTATTCTGACTGTAGGTGTATTTGCCACAAAAATGTGCGTAATCTGCCCATTCAGAGTATTCTCTTTAACTAATACATGTATTCTCTCTGTAGATGCATTCCCTCGAAAATGTGTGTATTCTACCTGTGAATGTACTCCACCATATGTGCGTATTCTGCCTATAGATGTATTCCACCTAACAAATACGTGTATTCTGCCGCCAGGTATATTTCTTCAAATATATACATATTCTGCTATTAAGTGTATTCCTACAAAAATGTGTGTATTCTATCCTTAGGCGTATTCTACCTGCGGGCGTATTCCCACAAAATGTTTGTATTCTTTCCCTCCAACAAATACGCATATTTGTTTCCAGGTGTATTCCTTCCATGACGTGTGTATTGTGCTCTTAGGTGTATTCCCTCCAACAAATACGTGTATCCTGTCTCCAGGTGTATTCCTTCAAGGATGTGTGTATTTTGCCTTTAGGTGTATTTCTTTAAAATACGTGTATTTCGCCTGTAGGGGTATTCCCTCCAAATAATTTATGTATTCCGCGTCGTCCATCAAAAATGAGTGTTTATGCCAGTCGCGTTCCTCCAAACAAGAGCAACAAATAAAAGATGACAAATTTGCGACTGAATCAAAATGAAACTTTCGCTTGTCACACAAAGTGTGGGGAAGTTGTTCAATCGTTATTCTGTACAAAACCACCCCCTTTCTTTTGGGCTTTCTACAACATAATTCCTTCGTAAAATATTTTATTTTAGTTATACATGTTTGTTTAATATATTAAGTGTGAGATAGGCAGCTTATTAATACCCGTTTTTTCTATTTATTTAGCCTAGATATTTCAGCTGTTTCTTTCTGGTGTTAAGTGTAAGTGTCCTTTTTACTAGTGAAATAGAAAGATTGGCTGCATGGAGCTCGGAGAATAATCTTGCTTTAAATACATTAAAAAAAAAAACAATGGAGCTGGTGGTGTACTCACGGAAAATACTACAGAACCTGTACCTTTGATTACCGACAGGATCCGTGTGAAGTGGGTGGATAAAATTAAGTTTCTGGACACACCCTGGACTAGGAATACTACCGCGATAGTCCAGAAGCGCAGCAGTGACTCTATTTATCGATAATTCCGAGAAAAAAAATAATTTACAAAGAGAGCTGCTGATGACCTTCTACCACTGCTCTATTGACAGTGTACTGGCGTACGACCTCACTATTTTGTATGTCAGCTACTCGGCAGCGGACAGGAAGGACGACCAGAGAGTTAAAGATGCTGCCCAGATAATAATCGCTTAGTTTCTGCCCTCCTTGGAGGATATTTCTAGTTCTCGGTGTCGCAGTGAAGCAGAAAACATAGTAAAAGACAGTGCGCATCCGTTTTTGATGTGTCAATCTCAGGGCGACGTTTTGGAGCTATGAGTTTTAAGACAAAGTGCTTGAGGGATGGCTGTTAACGCGTTAAATGAACGCTGCCGCAATCAGACGATTTTAAACGACATTACTGCTGTTTGTGTGTTGTATGTGTGTGTGCGCGTATGTGAGTGCGTATGGGTGTAGGTGTGTGCGTATGTGTATGTGTGCATCAGAATGCGTGTATTTTTTGTGATAGTGCACCTGGGGACTGTTGTCCAATTTGATTGTGCATTGCACAGTCACACGAAGAATAAATAATTAAATAAGTATCTATCTATCTATCTATCTATCTATCTATCTATCTATCTATCTATCTATCTATCTATCTATCTATCTCTCTCTCTCTATATATATATATGTATATGTATATACATGCATATACATACATGTATATATGCATGCATAAATACACATACACACCTCCCATATATATATATATATATATATATATATATATATTGAGAGAGAGAGAGAGAGAGAAAGAAAGAAAGAAAGACACAGAGAGAGAGAGAGAGAGAGAGAGAGAGAGAGAGAGAAAGAGAGAGAGAGAGAGCAAGAATAAAATAATTGATTTTTCATAGTCTCAAGAGAATTTACTTTGAGACCGGTTCCAAACCTTAGATGAATGATTATGTCATTTTGGTGCCTCCATAGACAATAAGGCGAGAGGAGATAAGGTGTTTTTTGACAAGTAAAGTGTTGTCGAGTACCTATACTATTAAACTGTGGCATTTCATTATCTGTTGATGGAAGCCTCAACGTGGATACAGTCGTCTGCTGAATTGCTTTCTTTGGTGCGCATATATAATTACCACTAACGGATACTATGATACGAAAGTCTCCTTGTCTTTCTATTATCTTATTCTGTCCAATTTTTTTTTTTTTATATTTGATTTCGATTTTTGTTACCGCTTCTAATTTCTTTCCCTCTTTCTCCATATCTCAGACATTTATGTTCGTTCACTGTTTCAAATAGTGAAGTTATTTTCTTCTAGTTTTAGACTTGAAGATTGACTACAAAATTTTGTTATTGTTTGTGACTCCATTTCATTAAATGGAAGTCGAGACGGAATAAAAATGTCAGAGATGCCTTCAGTTTTACTTTTTATGGCTTTAACATTAAATGATTATATCAGAAAATGACTTTCCGTTAATTACGAGGAAAAATAGATTTTGGAAACATGCAAGTTCAAAATTTTGGAAGTTTATGACCATATCACGTTGATAGACCTATTCTCGTACGATCAAGTTAAGCAAAGTCGAGGCTGGGCAGTACCAAGATGGGTGACCGCTTGAGAATACCACGTACTATAAGCTTGGATGTGCGTGTGGTGGTATGGTTTATGTCCATATCACCTTGAACCACCGGTTCTCGTACGATCACCTCAGTTAAGCAACGTCAAGCCTGGGCAGTACCTAGATGGGTGACCGCTTGACCGCTTGAGAATATATGCTGTTAGCTTGTATGTGCGGATGGTGGTATGGGTTAGACCCATATCACCTTGAAATCCGGTTCTCGTACGATCACCTCAGTTAAGCAACGTACAACGGGCAGTACTTAGATGGGTGACTGCTTGGGAATACCAGGCGCTGTAAGCTTGAATATGTGGTTAGTGTAATGGATGACGGCTCGGAATTGGAAATCGGAGAACCGTGTTCAAATTCCAGTCGGGTTTGTAGAGTACGTGAACCGGTATTTCGACGTGATATGGCCGTAAACTAAGCTAATAGAGGAGTACGCTGGAAAGCCACGAACTGGCTAATCATTCAAACATTTTTTTAAAATCAATTTAAACAATATTATTTATTATACCTTCTGTCTATTCCATCTATTCGTTCTGTATGCAAACTGGTTTTCGACGTTATATGGCTGTAAGCTGACGACTTTAGTGTACAATAAACAATATATAGTTCTACTGAAGAAACAGAAAAGAAGATTTGCTACGTGATAGAAGTTCGCTGTTCATTTTACATGAGAATTGAACACAAAGAAAAGGAGACGATCACCAACTACAACGATTTAAAGTATAAATGCTTTTTTTTTTTAAATTTGGGAAGGACTATCAAAGAAAGTAATTGTGTTACCAGTGATAATTGGAACACTGGAGTACTTTACAAGAACAGGGAAAAAATCTCATGAATGGAAACAGATCCATTACAAAAATCATGCCTGCTCAGAACAGCGAGGCATAATTCGGAAAGTATTGGATAAAGCGTCGATAAAAACGATATATATATATATATATATATATATATATATATGTGTGTGTGTGTGTGTGTGAAAAGTGTATATAAATATAAATAAATATATATATGTATAATTATTTATATGCGCGGTACTTATTAGAAAGCGCTCAATATCAGAGATAGAGCTAACATATTTGGTTGGAGAGATGTGAGTTTGTGACCCTGGGTTTCACGCTTTAGCGATCGTCAGGCAAACAGTTTGTCTGACGATCGCTAAAAAACCCAGGTCACAAACTCACATCTATCCAACTAAATATATATATATATATATATATATATATATATATATATATATATATATATAAAATCAATCACGAAGGAAAAAAGGTTTTAAAAAAAAAAGAGCTCGAAACATGAAAGTCTGTCGAAAAAAATCGCTCAGATACAGGTTTAAAGCCCAAAGAAAAAAACCCGACAAGAGTAAACAACTAACTAACAAAAGAGCTCAATACAACCGTAGAGCAGACCTAGATAAACCTAGTGAGCCAGACAAACCTACCCAGGTTTCACCTAAGCGGATCGTCCGCTTAGATGAAACCTGGATAGGTTTGTCTGGCTCACTAGGTTTATATATATATATATATATATATATATATATATATTATGAAATGGACAAAGTCCGACAATTATTTTAAGACATTTTACGTTTAACATTCTTTTTATAGATACAAATATTTAAGTAAATGCTCTGTTTATAATAAACAGTATTAAACAACATTTACCGGCCTGAATGTACGGAGGACGAATATTTTCCATGAATCTCTCACGTACATTCAGGATGGTAAATCTTGTTTAGTACTGTTTGTTATAAAACAGAGCATTTACTTAAATATTTATATATATATATATATATATATATATATATATTCACAAGAGTTAATCTAAAAAATGAACTTTCACCAGCAACCAATATCATATGCTGCGTTGAAAAAAAAATACACTAGTTACATTCCATCAGACACCGAACTACCGCCAGTCACGATAAACGGTTGACCCCACGAGGAGGAGGCACCGTGCCTTGTGAGGATATTGGGTCTCAAACTAACCGTCGACTTCAAGTAGAACTCTGATATACGTTTCATTGCTAAAGATGTCGGTAAAATGGTCGGCTCCCTGTACCGCTCCAATAAGTACCTGAATCACATGCTATTCTCTATCTTTATAAGAGACAGATCAGGCCGAAAATAAAGTACATATTTGGGTGGGAGCTATCCAGTCTTCACTTTCCGGTCTTGATAGAGTTCAAAAGTATCTTCATATTTTTGTTGAAGACGAATTATTTCTCATCCTCCAATCTCTCCCTCTTTCTCTCTATCACTGGCGAGATATGGTGAACCTCTAGCTACTTTCATGGAAAGTGCTCAGAAGAACTACATTTCTTGGTTCCGCCAGGTCTAATCTTTACGGCTAGGACCCGCCAGTCCACTTACATTGTAACAAACCATCCAAATTCCCTTCGTATTCCATCGGTGAGAAGTAAGTGCCACTCGAACATCTTTTTTCCATGAACCACTGTTCTGTAAAACCGACTCTCATGAGGATGTTTCCTTGATTACTACAATCTTAACTTGTTCAATTCTAGAGTTAATCGTTACCTTCCCTTCCTATCCATATAAACTACCCCTTAACCTCGAGTGGCTCCCGAAACTTGTACAGGGTGAACATTACTGTAAAAAAAAAACAAACAAAGCAAAACAAAAAGCTTACACCAGACCTCAAGTGGAAGTCTTATATACGATCCATCTCTAAAGAAGCAGGTAAAATGATCGACTCCCTGTAACGCTCCAGTAAATACCTGACTACTCATGCTATACCCTACCTGAGCCTGATCAGCTGTAAATGGAGTACTTTTGTTATATTTACTGTAGAAAGACAAACAAACAAAAAAACAAAAAACAAAACATACACCATCGCCGTCCGGATATTATTGCACTAGCTTAAGGCACCAAGAACTCATATTATTAATGTTGCTATACCAAATGGCAGTAATATAGCAAACAAAAAGATTGAGAACATTACAAAATATTCTAATTTGAAAGTTGGGATGGCAAGATTGTTTGGAATGCAAGAAGCGAATGACAAGAGGATTTTAACACTAGATCAAGGCTTAGAGAGGCTATCTATCCACTGAGATATGAGAGAGAAGACTATACGTCTCTCACATGGACAATAACACGGCCCTACGATTTATTATTATTATTATTATTAATATTATTATTATTCATTTGGGTATTCTGTATTCCACTTCTTTCACAGACTCCTGGGTATTTATAGGCTTTTTTTTGCTCCATTCGCCAAGCCATTATAACAAAATCTTGATCTATTGAGTGTCTTTCGGAATTCTTCTTTTCTTGAATTTTACTTTTGCACATTTACCGAATCTAAAGTTCATCACTGAAACATTTTAGCGTATAGTAGAGACTTTTCAACTCATTGTTGTATTTGGTAAAATTTCAAGATCATCCATGTAGAATTAATAAATTAGTAGATTAAATACTTTGTTGTTTAATTTATATCCAGAGTTATTACTGTTTAGTCATACGAAAGGGGGTAAAGGATAAACAAAACACAAGGGCTGACAAGGAGTCTTCTTGATAAATTTCTTGTCGGATATTCAAACGATTGGAAATGGTAGTGCCTTTGGTGTGATTTAGGTATAATGTGGTTTTCTACGGCCCTATGTTATATTTAAGGAAATTTACTATCACCGAGGAGACTTTGTATATTTCCAAAGCCTTAAGAATTCTAGAATGTGGCACAATATCAAAGACTTTACGATAACCTATCCAAATTCTGTTGAGATTTCTACCTTTTTTTTTCCTGCAATTTTCCAGGATCATTTTATTTATCAATAATTGATCTTTGCAATCAAACAAATATAGCAAACAAGAAGATTAGGAAGAATGTTGTTTTCACCGACAAAAGAGTTAGCACAGAATATAGCATCATTTTATTGGCATGATTCTTACTATCTTCTTCTTATAATAATAATAATAATAATAATAATTATTATCATCATCATCATCATCATTCGATTTCTGCTATGGACACACTACCTACCAAGTCTGCGGAAAGACCTAAGGCAGGTCGTGGTGTGTTGTTATATACATTTCATGTTAATTTTTTTTTTTTTTTTTTTTTTTCTCCGATGAAGTTGCTAGCGTTACATAGACAAAAGTTCTCCTTAGTGTGTGTGCTGTACTTAATAAGACAATTTTCTGTATGTCTCTTAAGCTGGGGTTTCAGGGATTCTTTCAATGTGTTGTTTTGTTCCATTTTTTATAATTCCAAGTGCACCTATTACCACTGGTATTATTCTTGTTTTCAATTTCCACATTTTTTCTATTTCAATTTCCAGGTCTTTGTATTTTGATAGTTTTTCAAATTCCTTGGTTGCTATGTTACAATCCGCTGGACAAGCCATATCAATTAGTAGGCAAGTTTTTTCTTTCTGGTTTTTGACAATAATGTCCGGCCTATTTGCTTCAATTTTTCTGTCTGTGTGGATGGTATAATCCCATATCATTATTATTATCATTATCATTATTATCATGATTATTATTATTATTATTATCATTATTATCATTAATATTATTATTATCATCATTGTTATTATTATTATTATCATTATTATTATTATCATGATTATTATTATTATTATTATCATCATTATTATTATCATTATTATTATTATTATTATCATCATTATTATTATCATTAATATTATTTTTATCATCATTGTTAGTATTATTATTATTATCATTTTTATTTTCTTTGATTTCTGGCGTTTACACATTTCTTTCCGGGTCCCGCCCAGTGACCTAAGGTTAGAAATGGCGTCATGACACTTTCCACTGAAAAAAAAAAAAAAAAAAAAATTATGATCATTATTATTATCATTATTATTATTATTACTATTATTATTATCATTATTATTATTATCATTATCATTATTATTATCATTATCATTATTATTATCATTATTATCATTATTATTATCATTATTATTATTATCATCATTGTTATTATTATTATTATCATTATTATTATTATCATTATTGTCATTATTATTATCAATATTATCATTATTATTATTATCATTATTATTATTATCATCATCATTGTTATTATTATTATTATCATTATTATTATCATCATTGTTATTATTATTATCATTATTATTATTATCATTATTATTATTATCATTATTATTATATTTGACGAACGGACAAAAATGGGCTCAGAATATTACATTACAAGTAACCAAAACAATCGTTGATTCTCTGGACGTCACACATTTGATTGTGTGGGACTTTGCTTGCGCGTATATAATTTATATGTGTATGTCTGTGGGTGTGCCTGACTGATACACTTATGTTTGTGCTACGGACAAACAAGAACACGCACACACACACACGCACGCACATACGCACACACGCACGCACACACGCACACAATTTGACTGAAATGGAAATAAGACAGTGGAATAATACACTCCCCTCCCCACACATTTTAGACAATCCCTAAAACTCGGCAAAGGAATAAAATCATAAAGCAAGAAAAAACAAAAACAAAAATAGCTCCATCTGTAACCAATCGTTTCTTTGCTTACAAATACCTTTTGTTGTGGAAATAAAAACAAAAAAAATAATAATCTGTTGGGGCCACCCACCTTCTCATCAGAATGGACTGATCTCTCTACTATTAATAGGACAGTTCTATAGAGTTCTGGGAAGATCAGGTGACCATCACACTTCCGTCTCTCTACCGGAAGATACAGTTCGACTTTATACTCTTTCTGATTGTTACTGACTAACCTGCGTTTGTTTGACTACTAATCTCTCTGTTGTAAATAACTCTTCAGATATACCAGTATTTTTCCCTACGTATGTGTTTGTCCTTATTTCAATACACGCACGCGGAAACACTCAACATCTCAATATAATCCTTTTTATTTCTCTTATCTTCGGTGAGAGAGTTTTAATATCTTATCGGTAAGTATTTAATATTTTCAGGGTAATTGTTCTGATGAGATTTCTTCTTTGGTACCTAGATTTTACGAATTTAAAAGCATTATTAGATTGGCGTCAAGGTCTCATCATTTAACAGTTGAGAACCACTAGATATAACCGTAAGTCCTATGCTAACAGTTTCTTCTCTCGCCCTTCTTGCCTGTGGAACTCCCTCCCGGCTTCTTGTTCTCCAATCAATTTCGATTTTCAAAAATTTCAATGCAATGTCAATCGTTATGTTCTGTCCCCTTAATGTCTGTTCTTTAATTGTCCTCTCTCTTTAATAATGTTTTTTTCTCAGATTCTTTCATATTCTACTGAATATGAAAGAATCTGAGAAAAAAACCTTGCCACTTAGCGGTTTTATCGTCTTGCTTGGGGTGAAATGATTAAAAAAAAGAATTTCAATTTATTTCTATCTATTGACATCAGTCTATTCAATATCGATATCAATTTATTCCTATTTACTATTCGTTTCTGTCTCTCGATATCAGTCTATTCAGTTAGTCAAAGGAATTAGAAGCATAGCATAGAGGTGGCCACCAAGTAAATGTTCGATTTATTAGTTATGACGATAAAGTAAATTTAGTTTAAACTTTTAAAAACTTAAGTGAAACAGAAAGTGAAATGATACGAGGGGAATGAAATGTAAAAGTCTAAATTCTCGGCGAAAAACCTGTTATATTTGTAACCACACAAATCAGATAATTATAAGATTTTATCTGCCTCGTGAGGTCTAATGTCATCTTCTGACTGGCAACAACGCCTGGATAACAGGAAAAGAATATGAGGCGAAATGTTGAAGTCATTTTTATGACTCGTTCTGGATTTGAATTGAATATATTTTGTAATAAATGCAGTATTTTAAATGGACAAAAAGTTTTGATATGAAATGACATCATCTTGGCGTCAATGAAGCGACAGGTACTGAACTATAAATATTAATGAAAAGACCTCCATGGAAATGTGAAGAGATAAAAAAAAGGTGGTATGGGTATGTTTGCATAGAGAAAGTGAATCACTATTTAACGACGCCCACATTCATTCTATAAGACATCGTCCATCCTAGACGAGGTTATCACTTATTTAAGTGCCATACGCGATACACGCTTGGGCGATCATGTCTATTTTGATTCATGACTGACGAGGCAGAAGATTTTCCTGCAGTAGGTTGCCATGTCTTTCTGCGGTAGACTGGTTCCCAACCAAGGTTGTAGGAACCATAGCTTGGGGAGAAGAGATAGATACATAACTTTCCCAAGAGTATTTGCGAGTAAGTGAATGTGACGAACTCAGCTGGAATTGTTGCAGTTTTTTGGTTATATTTACTAGTGAGCTAGCCTAAATGACTTGACTCACTTTATAGTCCACCAATAGAAGGTTAACCAATCAGAAGACGTAAAATATTCAATCCATCGTGTATAAAGGCGGCCATTTTGTTTACTCTATTCGAATGTCTAGTGCCAGCTTGTCAGGCGAAGAGGAACAGAAGGAAGAACTACGCTCTGCTACTTTTACCAAAATATCCACTGCTAACCTGAACAACGCTTTCCTACTGTCTTCAAAATATTCACTGCTAACCTCTGGATTCTATACTCAAAGACGACCGTCATCATGAACAACAGGAATTCGAACCCAGGTCTCCGATTTCTCATTTCGAGCCGATGCCCATTTCACCACAAGTCGACGTCATAGAATCCAGAAATCCGTGTGACAATTAATTGCGAACACTGTAACCTTTTCCATGGCTGTATAATAGGTGCGTTGCCAGGGTTACATACAGTTTTGAATTTAGAGCTGCTCTTCTCCTAGACTGTTTTCCAACCACGGCTAGAGAGCCCAGTTTGCTCTGATATTTCATCCAGTTTATTTAGACTATGTAGGGTGTGCATTGCGGTGTAATGGATAGCGGCTCGGAATGAGGAATCGGAGAGCCGAGTTCAAATTTCCGTCGCGTTCGTTACATTCCCTTACGCACACATACACTTTTCTCCCAATGGGTTCAATGGCAGGACAGACTGGATTTCATAGTCTTAGTTAGCGAAGAAATGGCAACCTACTGCGGGAAAATATGCCTAATCAAAAATCAAAAGTGACACGATCGGACAAGTGTGTATCGCGTATAGCATTAGCTGGAGATAGCGATCGTCAACCATATAATGAGCGAATACGGCAAGTTGGCTCAAATATACATGATTGAGTGGGAATGGTTATCTACTAGGAATTGTGCAAAAGATACGAGTTTCACTAAGTAAACTAGTGGTATATGCATAAAACAGACAGAAAAAGATTCTCTGAATGTTTGAAATTTCAAAGAATCCCCAATCTAGTCCAGACAAAAAGAACTAATTATCAAAAAAAAAAAAAAAAACGTCAGTGGCTGTTTCTGATCCTGTAAATCATCGAGTCTAATCGAAATAGTTTTTTTTCCTAGAAAAGGGGTAAAAATCAGTGGACTTTGTAGAAGAACAGAATACAATTGGAGAAAGTGTCTACAGCACAGAGACGAATAATTCTTCTTCATTTTCATCCTCCTCCTCAGTACCACGGCTGTGTGTGATCATAGGGTTTATTAAAAGTCGGAAAGTTATTCATTCCTGCGTAGCGTCTCTTGAGAAAGTCAGCCCATCATAGCCTATCCCTATCCAGGTCAAACCAGAGTTGATGTCCTTGAATTTGAAGTCTTACTTTTGGTCACGGACGTTGATTCATCATGGTAATACTCCGCCTTGGTCATTGATTTTAGCCTAGGAAATCACTCCGCCCAACGATGCCGTATCACCACAGTTTCCAGAGAAAGTATATATATTCAGTGTAACCCGGATATAAGAGAGTTGTCGGCACCGGAGAAGAAGTCTCTTATATCCGGGTTTCTCTTATATCCGGGTTTCTCTTATATCCGGGTCTCTTATATCCGGGTTATACTGTATTTTAAAATTTGTGTATTTAGGCAGAAAATTCTCTTTTAGACATGTCTGATTGAATAAATTACAGACATTATGTTTGCTAATTTTAATAAAATCCGTTCATTTTTTATGCGTGTATTGATGTTAAAGAATGAGAGAAATATGCTATAACTGTTTAAATATATATATATATATATATATATATATATATATATATATATATATATATATAAATAAAAATATATATATATATGTTTAAATATATATATATATATATATATATGATAAAATATAGTTTTAAGACATGCTATATTTATGCGTTAAAGTGATAGAGCGTATGTAAATATAAAACGGGAAAACAACCAAAAAACCACCCGCACAAATCAAACCCACGTGTAACTGCAGAACAAAGAAAGAATGTCCCATAAACGGCAATTGCTTGTAGAACAATATAATGTACCAAGCCACTGTATAATCATCAGATAATCAAAAATATATATACATAGGAGTAACCGAAGGACGCTTGAAAGCTACGCATACAAAACATCCTTTACAAATAGTAAACACGCCAAGAGCACAATGCTTTCTAAACATATATGGGATATTAAAAGCGGTTCACTCTCCTACCCGGTCTTTTAAAAAGGAGTAGAAGTTTATCCCTTGTTTCCTGTTTAGGATTGAATTTCTGGTTGTTTCTAAAACCATTTAATTCTCTTTCACTCCCAACAGTCTTTTGCTTTTTAGTGGCATTATCCCCTTGCTTGGGGTGAAATGATTAAAAATATATAAAATGAAGTGAAGATTATGATGATAAGTAGGACAGATAGCGATTGATCTTTGACTTGAAACTATTAAAATTGTAGTGTTCAGAGAAATATCCACGCGTGTGCTTGTTCCACAACGTAACAGCTCCCGAGAAAAAAAATATTTGGATGGAACATTTGGAAAAAAAACAGGGGAAATGTGGGTGATTCAACTCTGTGGACGTAGCATAATGAATTCTATATAAAGGTCTGAACTGGTGGAATGAACATTTATAGTCTTGCGACGTTGCGTCTCAGGGAAATAGGCTTACGGTCATAATACGTTGAAACAGCGGTTTTCGTACGATCACCGAAGTTAAGCAAAGTTGAACCTGAACGGTTACCTAGCTGGGTAACCGCTTGGGAATACCAAGGGCTGTAAGCTTGGATGTGCGTGTCGTGCAATGGATAATGGATAATCGGAGAGCCGAGTTTTAATTCCAGTTGGGTCCGTTATATTCATTTACGCGCAAATAGCCTTGGGAAATCCACCTCTTCTTCCCCTAGGTATGGGTTAATTAGAACGACTTGTATCAGTAAAATCATTATTATCTTTAAAGAATTCTTACAATTTGAAAATATTTTCTTGCTTTAAATAACCTGCAAAAGGTTGATAAGCCATAAAAAACAGTCAATCTAAAGTTGTCATTGGTTGCATCGGAATATCCTACAGGATTTTAATTTTGCTAATCTATAATATATTCTTCACTTTATTATTAGTAGTAGTATTATTAAAATCAAAACATGGATTTGATTCTAAGAATCATTATTATTAATAATCGGTTATTTACATATATTTTCGATACTTCTCTTGCAACGTTTTTGTTGAAGCACTGTCTAACCTTCAAGTTTTAAATTCTTACAATCTAAAAATGGCCTTTAATTAAAATGTTGATAAGCCGTAAAAACAACTCAGTGAAACATTCTAAGGGAAAGAGACTGTAGATTGGAAAATGTCATCCCCTACAAAAATCGCGCAATTCGATTTTGAACTCTATCAAGGCTAGACAGTGAAGATTCGTTAACTCCATGGCGGTAATACTCCATTTTTGGATCGTGAGCTTCGTCGCTGTATCTCGGTTCCGTTGTCCTGCATTCGTTCTCACGTTTTTTTTTGTTTTTTTTTCATGTGATGTAACCTTGCTAGTTCTTAAGGAAATCCCATTATGTAGCAATTATGGGCATTGTTCTTGTAAAATTAAATTAAAATAAAAAAAAAGGATAAAAAAACATAGGAAAAGTAGGTTGACGTAAATAATCGTTCGACACTTGTTTTCAAAAATGGCGTTCGTCCATTTCCTGGCCAGTGGCGAAATCGGGACATATGAGGATTTTTTTTCCTCTGATTGATTTGATAAGATAATAATGCACTGTTCTCACATTATTCGGTGCTTCTCTGTTCATTTCTTTTTCTACAGTGAATGATTCGAAGTTTAATCACACACATACACACACACATTTTTTCCTTTTGGTGAAAGATCACTAAATTGTGATCAGATATCAATCAGTTTACAGAAATCAGAAAAGAAAGAAAAAAAACAAGGAGAGAAAAGTAAATTATACTGAACGAAAGTCGGTAAAGGGATAAATAATAACAATCGTTTTATAATTCTGCGTTGTCCCCGCTTCACGCGTTGCTCTTACCTTAGATAAATAATGAACCATTCCGTTTTAATTTTGAGGAAAGACTAAAGAAAAGATATAGGAAAGGTTACTGAATGAGGAATAACCAAGATGGAGGTTGGAAATGAAATGATAATTTTTATAACATCAACAAAATACAATACTCGCCAGCGGCGTGAAGCAGGTAAGCCACTGCTAGTGGTGGACTACGTAGACAGCATATTACCTCCACTTACAATAGTGTCCAACGTATTTATGAGGGTTGGGATATACCCATTAGTGTTCATATCTACAGTATATAACAATATCATATCTCGTTTTAGTGAGAAAAACAAGTATAAATAATAAGAAGAAAGAAACAAAGTCATGTATTTGGTTGATTCCTTTTTTACGGCTTATCAACCCTTTCAGGTTATTTGAGTAGACGCTTATTTATTAAACAGTATATTTATTTTCGTTTACCGGCCTAAATATTCAAGAAATGTTATAGAAAAATATGCGTTTTCCGGTAGGATACGATGTTTTTTTTAAGTAAGATTTCAAGAAAAAAGCATTAACTTTGGATAATTTATTTATATCATCAATCAATTTATACATAAATTCAATCATTCGGAAATTGGAAAGTTAAAATAAAAAGTCAATTAATCTACATTGTCAATAGAATTCAATAGAACTGGTTTGGATAAATTCTTGATTAATGGATTCGTTTTCTATGGCTTATCAATCCTTTAAAGGTTATTTAAAGCCAGAAAATATTCTTAGATTTTAAGACATTCTTGTTTTTAAGATAACAATGGTTTAGTGATACAAATCTTACAAATTAACCTATAGGAGAAGAGGTGGATTCATGCCTTTCCCAAGGTCATTTGCGCGTAAGTAAATATAACGAAGTCAACGAGAATTGAAACTCGACTCTCTCTGAGACATTATCCATTACACCACCCGCACATCCAAGCTTACAGCACCTAGTATTGCTAAGTGGTCATTCATCTAGGTACTGACCTGGCTCGACGTTCCTTAACCTCTGTGATCGTACGTGAACATGATATGGCCGTTTGCCCCCACTTTCTTTCTATCTCTCTATCTAAATCGAAACGATAGCTGTCGACTAATGTTTACAGATCTGGTTTTGAACCGCATTAATATTTTTAGATAGTAAGAATTTGGGGGGGGATTAATAATGAATTGGCGATACAAGTCTTACTAATTAACCCATAGCTGGAGAGGGAGGAGAAATGGATTCCTACCATTCCAAGGATATTTGCGCGTAAATGAATATAACGAACCCACTGAAATTGAAACTCGGCTCTCCGATTAACAATTCGGGACCATTATCCATTACATTAATCTTACAGCACCTGGTAATCCCAATCGGTCACCTATCTAGGTAGTGACCAAGCCCAACGTTGCTTAACTTAATCTCCGAACTATTATCCATTACACTACTCGCACATCCAAGCGTACAGCAGCTGGTATTCCCAAGCGGTTACCCATCTAGGCACTGCCCACGCTCAACGTTGCTTAACTTTGATGATCGTACAGGAACGCTATATGGCCGTAAGCCTGAAGACGTTGATAGTCCACTTTTACTTAGTTATATGATTCAGCCGTATTCACTTGAAAACGTACTGATTTTTTGGAGTGATTTGCACAGACTTATATAGAAGGAAAGAAAGAAAGACCCTTAGGGAAACCTATCTTTCAAATGGGTCTTTGTTTCAAAGGTATAAATAGTGTGAAAAATGGCCTCGTTTTGACATAAAACTTCGACGACTATCACACTGCTGTGAACATTCACTCTAATCGATGAAGATATCCATGTTGGTTGGATGTAAAAGAGGCAATAGAGAGTGAAGAGTCTTTGCCGAATGAGTCCAGACTGCTATCAGCTCCATAACTGCAGTAGAAGTAAAAAAATGAGTAGATGTTAAAGAGTGAAAGAACTGTAGAAAAAAAAAGCTGTAGCAAAGAATGGAAAAGAAAAATGAAGACAAGAAAAAAACAAGAGTGAGAAAAAAGAAAACAATAAGAAATAAAGAAATAATTCGAAGCTTTAAAAGAGGTTGAAAGCGAAAATGAATGAACATTTGAAAAAGAACCTGAGAACGGGGAAATGGAAAAAGAAAGAAAGAGACTAATACATGAAACGAAAGAGTAAAACATGGAGGAAAAAAAAAGAGAAAGAATAAAAAAGGATAAAGGAAAGAAAATAAAATTGAAAGAAAAACGGAAAGAAATCAAAATTAAAATTTACGCAAAGATGAGTAAATAAAAATGAAAAAAAAAAACAATAAAAATACAATATGAAAGAAAGAAGTAATGAAAGAAAGAAAAAAGAATGATACGAGTAATGAAGAGAAAGAAAAATGAAAGAAAGAAAAATGGGAGGAAGAAAGAAAAAAGAAAAGATATAAAGAAAGAAAAATAAAATCAATGAGATGAGGAAAAAAACGGAAAGAAAGAAAAAAGAATAATCAAAGAGAGAAATGAAGCAAAATTATTGAGACGAGGAAAAAAAAATGAATAAAGGAAGTTAGGTAGGAAAGAAAAAATAAATGAGAAATAAATAAATAAATAAAAATGAAAGAAAACGAATAAAGGAAGGAAGGAAGGTGGAAAAGAAAAAATGAATGAGAAATAAATAAATAAATAAAAAAGAAAAAAGAATAAGATGATGAAGAAATAAGAAAATAAATGAGTCGAAGAAGAAATAAAGAAGAAAGGAGGGAAAATAAAAAAAAAAAGTTTTGATCAAAGAGTGAAGAAAAAGGAAGAAATTGAAAAATGTGCTAAGAATTTAAATCAAAATTATCTTTTTAAAATTAAAGGAAAATTTAAAAGTTAAAAAAAAATAGAAGGAAAACTGAATGAATTAAACTGAAAAAAAAAATGGAAAAATAAGAAAAGCAGAAAAGACTAAGAGAATGAAAGAGAAATATTAAAGTTCAAAAGAATAGTAAAAAAACTCACCCCCACCAAAAAAAAAAAAAGAAAAGAAAAAGAAAAGCAAGAATAAAGAAAGCAAATATCAAGATAAGAAGTTCAATAAGTACGGCGGTAGTAGTTGTAGTGGCATGAGGACAAAGTACTCACTACACCTGCCGACGTTATCTCTGATACGATGGTGGTTATTTTTTTTCTGATAAGGCAAAATCCCATACTTTCTTCAAACTGAATCGCCTCTCTTCTCACTGTACTTAGCCGAAAATATGTAGCTAAGATTAAATCAGGCGTCTTTTGAGCTCTCTCTTATCTTGCCTTTATTGACAACCGATCCTCACCGGTAGCAATCGTTCTACAACCCAGTTATATTACTCAGTACGCAAGTCAAAGAATCGATCCTCTGGAGACGATATCGATCTTTACTAAGATTAGCTTGTTCCAGTACAAGACCAACTACAGAGAAATGGGAAGATTGTGCTGCGCTAAGAAGGAAAGGTCCATTTCAGAGATGAGTATAGGAATTACAACTTCTCTCTCAAACATCAGTCAAGATATTTGACGATGAGGAATGGAGAAGTTGGTTCATGCCTTTCCAAAAGAAATTATGGCGAAGTGAACATATACAGACCGAGCAAACATTTGAAGTCGGTTCGTGGATTTTGTTTTTGTATTGATAAGCGTTCCGCCATTTATTCCCTCACATCCTGTCTTGATGTAGAAATTATAAAAACGGCAGATTGATTGATAAAAAGAATGAAAATTTGTGCTTGAAATAAGAATTTTAATTCCACATTTTTTCTCTCATCTTTTCATTTCTTCAAATCTTTTTCAAAACTAAAAAAAGAAAAGCAAAGAAAAGTTTTTTTTTTATTCTCATCTTTGTTATTTTTATACAACGTTTCTGTCTATTTATTCTCCCGCCTTTTTTGGGGGCGGCTATTTTCAGTGTAGAACGTTGATGCTGTTCTGCTGATTGTTTGTAAGCTGCGTCCCAATGTCATGGTACATTTTTGCTCATTCATTTCCGCAATAAAAAAAATGTAATAAGCGGCACGACTCTTTTGGCTCCTTTGTTTGTCTGAGCATAACAATAGACTCGACTAACAAATATTATTATCATCTTGTTCTCACTAATAAGTTATGAGAAAATACATTGTTATGGTAACAAGAGGTATATTAGCCGCCACTTGCCGCGAACAAACATGATGTTACTATAATATATATATATATATATATATATATATATATATATATATATATATATTGTGTGTTTGTATTTAGGCAGCATTTTTTCATTAATGCATGTTTCGTTAAATAATATAGAGAAGTTTTGTCTATTTATTTTAAGTAAATTCCTTTCATATTGTCAAATAAGCTTTTTAGTATTATCACTGAAACACGAAAGTAAATCACCATTTAGTTACATGTTTTTATTGTTAATCCTGCCTAAGCTTTCGGCTTACATAAGCCATCATCAGAGATTACAAGTACATTATAATAAATTAAATAATAAATTATGTAACAAAGATGGTAATAGTTATGCGGGCATGGCAACAAAGATAGTTTGTTTTGTTTACATGGAAGATTGCTATGCAACGAAAATTCGTGCATATGAAACGCACGAAGCAAATATCGCATTGCGGTTCATGACAGGACCACCTGAGAGTGAAAATGAAGAAAAGTGTTGAACCTGTTGTACCTGTTGTAACCTGGGGAAGGTTACCGAATAGAATAATCACACGAAAGTTGGTAGTGAACAATAATACTTAGGACAAGAACAACACATATAAGATTTGCCAGCGATGCGTAGAAGAAGTTAAGTGAATTCCACAACGAATCTCCATCTGCAGACCAACATACAGTATTTACTACTGTATTGGGGACATGCTCATTATTGTCCGTAGGTATACTACAACATATACTTATCCAAGTACCCTGGATAATGTAGTTTCTGAATATAATGTTATGGGTGGTCTATCTCCAAAACCCCAGGAGGAGCTTGATAACAATCAGACAGACAGACAGATGCTACAACTTTATATACATAGAGGGGCTTGATATTCGTAAAGAACCTTAATGTTTCAGACATTAATTCCATTAATTTTTCTTCTGTTTGAACCTTAAAATTGCTTTTTATACTAATGCACAGCTAATACAACACCTAATAGCCAGTCAAGGTAGAGTGTTACTGTGTATTGTTGTATGAGCGTAAGAAAGGGCAAGAAGCTTGATCTTAGACTTGAAGAGGTCAAGATTATAGAAAACATCCTGCCGGGAGTCTGTTCTAAAAAACAACAGTTCTTGGGAAGAAGATGTCCGAATGGAACTTCTTTCTTACTAATGGAATCCGAAGGGAGTGAGGATGATTCCCACTTGTGTACGTAGCATGGTGGGTCCCAGTTGTAAAGGTCATGTCTATTGGGTTTAAGGAATGTAGCTCCTCAGGACACAAGACAGTAACAGTAGAGCAACGCGAGGCTCGCAACATTTCATATGTGGGAAAAGGAATGTAACGTCCATTCTTACTCAACAAAAAAAAAAAAAAATAAAATAAAAAAAAAAAATTCAGTCTTGTTGCTGTATTTATTTCTCTTCCTGTTTTCTCACAGACCGACAATTCCAAATATATTGCAATAGGTTTGCTGGTTGGGCAGAAAATAACGAATTAGGTTATATCTGAATTACAGTACGACTAAACATTGTAGCGTGTTTCTGCTCAAGTTCGACTGGCTTCTATATATAAAGTTCTGTGACTCCTTTTAGTCTGTCCGTCCGTCATACCCTCTAAAATAGCCATACATTAACCGATCGAAAAAAAATTTGGGGGAGAAATGCAAACAGGTAAAGTGGGTACAAAGTACAGTTGGTTTTTACTAGGGTGCGTAGCTTAGTACAATAAATTTTCATTAATTCTTTTGAATAAATTAAATGTTTCATTATCTAACATACAAAATAAACCCACTATTTTAGAAACAATTTAAGGATTGAAATGAAAAAATTCTTCTTCAATAAATGAAGTTCATGCGGCTATGCAGGGGAGATAACGGTGAAGTCGTCAAGATTATAGTTATTGGGAGTCTGTTCCACAAAGCAACAGTTATTGAGAAGAAGCTGTTCAAATGAAACTTCTTTCTTACTAATGGAATACAAAGGAAATGAGGAAAATTCTTGCAGTAGTTTCTATTGCCTTTCATAGTGTTATGGGACCTTACCCATAATAACATAATGGACTATTCCATACGTAATAAATACTGCGCCTCAAGAGGAAGCAGAGAGTCCAGCCCGAAGTCGGGCGACCGGCTGACTGGCTGATCGGTTGAACTCTCTGCCTTCGGGCGGGGAGGAACCCGAACGAGTCTACGCCGAAGGGCGGAGTCTCTTTCGAGGAGGTAAACCAGGCATAATTTTGGCCGAGCCCACGGGCTTGGAGATCCCACGTTAAACCGGCCTTGTGCCACATGATGCCCTCGTGGGTGGGGTGACTAAATACCGTTCCGTCTGAAGTCTGAAGTCTGGAGTGAGGTCCGTCAGGAGTCTGTCAGTCAGTCAGAGCGAGTCAGTCAGTCGAGTCAGAGGCAGTCCGAAAAAGAGTCGCGTTCAGACAATTACTACTAAACCTGATTGTTCGTACTAACACTTTCTACTTCTCTGTATATATTCCTGTTTGTAATATATCTGTGTTATTCCATGTACGTGTTCGAGTTTTTCTTTATTGGTTCTACCTTGGACTATCACCGTGGTACAAGGAACCGGACATAGCTCTTTCCGTAAATATTATTTTTCATCCTGATATATATCTCTTTTAAAACTGAGCCACAATTTTTCAATTGGGTTACTATCTGGGGAATATGGAGGACATTCCACTAATCTATTGTCCTTATGAGTTCAGTAAATATAAAAAATAAAAAAAGGGCTGTAAGACATGGATGCATCTTCTCACCAGATTTTTTCAAACTATACAGCGAGGTTGTTCTAAGAGAATTAGAATCTCACTCGGATTCATCATTGGCGGCCATAAATTATTAGAATAATCACACGAAGGTTGAGAGTGAACGATAATACTTAGGACAAGAACAAAACATATAAGATTCGCCAGCAGCGCGCAGAAGAAGTTAATTGATAAAGAAAATACATAAGATATGCAGATGACACAATGTTGAGAGCAGACACAGAAAAGAAACTACACGAACTCCAACAGAATGTATTGAAGGAAAGTGTAAAGAAAGGACTAATGCAAAGTTGTTAGCAAAAGGGACAACCCAACATGGAAATTACAAATTGGAGATACCAAAATCAAACAAGTAGAAAAATTTAGATATCTGGAAAGTGTTTTAATATAGGACGGAAAGTGTGACAATGAAATCTGAAGACCCATTAGGATAGCGAAAGATGCATTCGAAAAGCTAAGCAAAGTATTAAGATACGGAAAAAATCGTAAGAAACAAAGAAACGAGTACTAAGCTGTTACATGATATCTATCTTCCCATATGGCAGTAAATGTTGGTCAATCTTCCCACAGATGATGCAAGAGACTTTCAGTTGAAGAGTGCTTCTATAGATGGATGTCGAGGATACCATGGACGACAAAGTTTTGATGAAAAATGGAATCGAAAAAGACACTTATACACTGAAATTAAACAAGTGCAACAAGTTAGATACCTGGGAAACGTATTAGCATAAGGCGGAAAGTGCGACACTGGAATTCGAAGGCGCGAAAGATGCCTTCCAGAAGCTAAGGAAAGCATTAAGAAACAGAAAATATTGCTAGAAACAAAGAAAAGATTACTCTACTGTTATGTAGTATCACTCCTCCTATATGGTAGTGAATGCTGGACAATCTCCTCACAGATGAAGAAGAGACTTGAAGCAGCAGAAATGTGGTTCTACAGAAGGATGCTGAGAATTCCCTGCACCAAACATGTGAGCAAACGACAAAGTTCTAGAGACAATGGTAAAAATTATACTTATGCTTAACATCAGGTTGAGACAGTTGAGGTTTTTGGGAGACATAATAAGGCTAGGAAAATTTGATACTCACAAGGCAGATTGGCGGTAAGAGGAAAGCAACACAAAAACTACCTGGCGAGCTAGAATGAATGGATGTCGGAGCAGGGTATATGAGAGATGACAAAAATACAAAATCTACAAGGGACAAGAAATCGTAGAGAGCCATGATCGCCAACGTTTTGGAAGGACACAGCACATAGAAAAAAGATCGTTTTTACTGTCAAGGTGGGTAATCGCCAAACTTGTAGAATTTGAAGGAACCATATTTTACAATATTTTTCAATATGTTTAGTTTAAGGTTTATTAGTTGTGACCTGTATCACTCAAAAATGTCTACGTATGAGGCGTAGTCGGGAGAGAGGTCAGTCAACGCTTCCGTAACGCCAAAACATCTCAAAAGTCTTCCATAACCAGGACTAAAACCCGAATTGATAAAGGTATGTCAATGCTTCTGTCGCTTTATCGAAGCAGCCACTGATGCGAACGGTGGATTAATTGAATAGGTGTGGCGAAAGGCTTCTCAAGATTATTTACCTCACTTTGTTTTCAAATATGTAGTGATAGAGAAATAACTAAATAAAAATAAGAAATAGCAAGAAGACCCAAATTAGCTCCATCTCTAAAAATATATGGATGATCAGAATCGCCAGATCACGAAGCCATATTTCGACGAACTAAAAAGAAGGATTTCTCAACCATGATATAAGAAAATAAATAACAAGGAAACCAAAATATCCTCATCTCTAAAAATAAATGCTTATTAAGAATCGTCAGGTTACAAAGCCATAGTTCGACCAACCAAAAAGAAAGCTTTAACTATCAGAATATAAAGCCGCTTGACCATTAGAATTACAGCGCTCTTTTCGTGACTGATACAGTTGAAGTCACATATACCTTCCTTTATCCACATTGTCAAACAGGCGGCTACTACATTTGGATACATACGTATACATATATAATTACATTCTCCTTTTTCACATTCTCTTCCGTATGTGCCAATTAAACAAATCGCCCATAAATAATGCTTTTCGTTCATGAGTCATGCGTTTTTTTTTTCTGAAGTTTATTGTCCTCAAAGAACTGGCGCACCCTTCGCGCGCGCGCGTGTGTGTGTGTGTGTGTGTGAGTGAGTGATTGTGTGTGCGGGAGCATACGTGTGCATACAATCGATTAAAACTTCATTAGATCTTTATGCAAATATTTGGATCAAGTAGTTATGAGTATATTTTTTGCTTGTTAAATATTAATTTGTTTAATCGCATATCAATTCATGTAGAAAACGACATTTGGGACGATTCTGCCTATTCATTCATACATCTGCCAACTGTGCAAAATATATTGCTAACTCAGCAAAAAATGCGACGAATCAAAATGGTGTCAATCGATGTGAATTCGAATCACCCCACCACATCGTCCTACTTGACTGTACAGACGCACGTAGGCAGCAATTATTCTCGCTCAACCTAAATGCATAGCACCAAATGATTTTGTTTCTAATAATAGCTTCGACCGCATAAAGTAAACAATAAAGAAACAACGATTGCAGTCACGACATTGATAATCGAAAACAGCAACGTCAGCATTATTGTCTCACGTGAATCACGAATGATCTCGCGTGCGTTGCTGTGTCTAGTTAGGGTCACAATGACGCTGCTATTTTGAACAGTGTTTTCGAAATAGGAAAAGAAAAGAGAAATTACAGTTATGGAAGTGAAAAGATGAAGAGAATGGATAAAGGAAAAAAATATATGAAGAAGTAAAAAGGCTGCAAAACAAAAGGATAAGAAAGAGGGGCGAAGAAAGAAAGGGAAAGGACAATAGAGAAGAAAACGGGAGAAGGTGGAGTGAGAAAGAAAACAAAAAGATATAAAAAAGCAGAGAGATCGAAAACGTAAACAAGTACAAAATAAAATGATGTGTGTGTGTACAGAAATAAAGTGATTAAATGCAAAAAAGAGAGAGGGGTAGAAAGAGGAACGGAATCTGATGGTAAGAAAGATAAAAGAAAATAAGGACCAGGGTAGGAGAAGGAAAGCGAGAGAGTGAAAAAGAGAGAAGAGAGAGAGATGAAACTAGATTAAATGAGGGACAGATAGAAAGAGAATAAAAAGACGATAGAGAAAAGAAAATACAAAAAGGTGATACTGACCTTAATTTTAGCCTTTCAATGTAGAGAAGAATAAAAGACGGTGAACAAAACAAGAAGTTGTGAAAATAAATGTGAGAAAATATATAAACAAGAAAGATGACAAACAATACGATAATGTAGTGTGAGAGAAAAATAGGAAAAATACACCCCGATATATATATATATATATATATATATATATATATATATATATATATATATATATAAACTAAACGCTATATAGAGGAGACTCGTATAAAAAGACGCCGTTATATCCATTATAATAATGAGAATAAAAACATCGGAATAAAAATAAATCCATTGATTCTTTAGAAATACATTTATATCTATTTCCCCCCATATATATATATATATATATATATATATAAATATTGATTTAAAATATATTCTAACCATGTTTCATATATAAATCATAATTTATAATATTAATGCTCTATATTGAGCACTATTTTGTAAAAATAAAAATATCTATAAGAACACCGGATTATATATCTTGCTGTTCTTTCTTTATATATATATATATATATATATATATATATATATAGGATAAATACAAATACAATTTGTCAATTGTATATTCAGGAGAAAATGAAACAAAATGAAAAAGCTTTTTTTCTGTTTT